AGCTGAGCTGCGCCTCTAAGTCCCTGCTCACCTTGCAAGCCCTGAACACCCTACTGACCTTGTAGACCCTGAGCGCCAACTGCTCCTTGAGGACCCTGGAATCTCATGTCATCCACAACAGGTGGGTCCTGATTGTTCATCTCTAGTCTCTCCAAGTGTTGCTGCCTTTCCTGCTGTCTTCTTTCTCTCTGGCCTCTGTCCAACTGATTGATGTTGTCCATGAAGTCTACAAGATTGCTTGAACCTCTGGATCTTAAGTTCAAAAACCTGAAAAACAGCAATGAGAGTCAAGGAAGATTAGTAACCAAAACAAAAGAAACCTGATCTTAAAGATTTTACAAACTCCAATGACTAAAACTATAAATCCCAATGGTAACGGCGCCAAATTGATACAAGAGTTTTGACTCTTATATCAATCACCCATTGTACTAATTGGTTGTAGTATTTGGGTTTTTATGTCAATCCAAGGGATTGAGTTTGAAAGACAGAAGAGTTGCAAGTAGAAAGCTCTAAGTCAGGTGAAACAGAGAAGATTTTGTTGCAAAGCAACCAAACTAACAACCTAAGATGATCAAACACCAACACAACTCAAAAAGAACACTTAGCAATGATCATATAAAGCAAGAACAGAGCAAAAAAACTTAGTAATTGGCAAATTCGAAATTCAAATAAAGAGAAGACAAGTTCCTAGATGTGGTTATTGATTTTGGGGAATTCAAAAGCTAACTAAGGTTGTTACAAACATCACTGATCAAGCAAACAAGCTATCAATGCTGATTCCTAGACATAGAGTTCACAAACAAGCAAGCTAAGTTCAATCCGTTGACAAATAGCACTTTGATAAACATCTTAACAAGAACTAATTCTCATTAGTGCTAAAACATTCAACAAGCATGGTAACTCTATTCATGTCAAGATACTCCTCAAACAGTCAATCTCTTGAGCTAAGGCCAGTAAATCTTCTATTAACGAAGATCGGCATTTCATCAAACACTTGGTGGACATAAAATGAAGCCTAAATCTAGATTCATGAGATTAAGACAAATCTAGCTTAAGAACAGATTAATAGAGAGAAATAAATGTTATTAAGCACTAACAAACCTTAGATAAGCTTCTAAATCCCCTTAATCTACCACTTCTAGAAACCCTAATCAAACTACTCACTAAGCAACATGTTTAACATCAAATCATAAAGAGAAGATATGCTAATACTGATTAAGGAAGAGAGTAAAGTAGGATTAAAGGCAAATACAAACTTAGATTAAGCAAAGATAGAACTTGTCTTACAAAAACAGAAATCAACTAAGAACAGTAAACTCAAAAGAGACTTTTTCTAAAAATTCTTAAAACATTATACTAAAAGACAAATGCCCTAACATAATGGCAAAATGGTAAATAGAAGCATATTCAGACTGGATCATATCGATCATAAGTGATCAATAGGGTGATCGATAGGATGACCATCGGTCTTGAAGGTGACATGAATACAACCGATTTGTTTATATCGGTCACTATCTGATCGATAGGGTGACCGATACATCAGTTGCATTCCCATCGGTCACTCCTTGACCGATGGTCTGATCGATAGCTCCATATCGGTCTTGACTTGATCGATAGCTTGACCGGTGGGACTCCAGAAACGTCTTCCTTAGCTCCTCTTGCTTCCTATTGGCTTGGCTAGCCTCCTGATCCACTCCCACACTTACTCCTTGCTCATTTCAGCTCCATAAGCACCTAAAATCATCCTTTATGCAAATACTCCTTGCTCATTTCAGCTCCATAAGCACCTAAAAACATCCTTTATGCAAAAAAAATGCAAACTACATCCTAAATGCAACCTAAGTCTAAAAGGAGAAGAAAATAGGACTAAAGATAAGGAAAACATGCAAAAGAGAACCAAAATATGCACTAAATGCAAGCCTAAATGATGCAAATTTATGAGATATCAATATGGGACAAGAAAAAAGGAAACAAAGGAAAATGGAATATGAAAGTAAAGAGGAAACTTGTCTTTTAAAGAAAAGATTAGACAAGTGTGACCTCAATACACTAGGTGTAGTATGGCAGCAATGAGTTTAATCAATCCAAACAAGATAAGGTTTAGAGAAGATGCAACACACTTGTAAAGCTAGGCAAACATATGATTTAAAGGGTTCACATTCAAGCAAGCAATTAGTGCAAACAAGTAACCATAGTGACTAGAACTTATCAAGCAAATAAAAGTTCTAGTAGTGAACAAAACATAGCAAAATAGAGCAATACAAAGAAAATTCTAAATATTAAAAGGCTAGGATCAAGACCATGGCAATGTGACTTGAGTGGTTTAAATCTTGATCAAGGTGTAAGACAAGCATATAAAAGCAACAATCTATAAGCAAGGACCACTAATAAAGACTAATTCAATTCCTTAGCACTAATCTCTCTACTAACCATACTCTTAACCCACTTTTAATGATGGAAACATAATCAGCAAGCATTAAACACAAGGTTTATAAAGCCAAAAAGCATCTTAGATAACCACCTTCACATATCCTTATGGCACTTTTGCATATTGAAGAATGTCATTTGGCCTGTGTAACGCCCTATCAACTTTTCAAAGATATGTTGCCTCTATATTCTCTGATTTGCTTGAAGAAATGGTGGAAATATTCATGGATTACATTAGTGTCTATGGATCTTTTTTTGGTGTCTGTTTGTCTAATCTATGTTAGGTTTTAAAGAAATGTGAAGACAAAGGTTTGGTGCTGAATTAGGAAAAATGCCATTTCATGGTCAATGAAAGAATTGTTTTGGGACACAAGATCTCTGAGAAAGGGATAGAGGTGGACAAGGACAAGATAGAAGTAATGATGCATCTAGCTCTACCAACATCAGTGTTGCAAGATAGAAGGGCAGATCTTCAGCGTGGATATCATGGTAGACTTGAGAACTGAATTAACGGAAGAGCTGCAAACAAAGGATCATCTGAGCACAACATTAACCAAAGCACCAGGAGAGTATGAGTATTTGAGTAAGGAAACAGCAGAATATGAGCAGCTGTTGAAGGAAGCTAGGCTAGACACTCACCATGAGCCCTTTGTCAAGCAAAGGAGGGAAGTTGTGAGTTCAGTGAGTCAAGAAGCCAGTGGAGCTAAGGATAGCAAACCAGGGGAAGATCTTGGAGATGAAGACTGGAGTGAGCTAAAGGCACCCAAGCTAGACCTCAAACCACTTCCCAAGGGGATATAATATGTATTTCTTGGGCTTTATGAAACCTATCCTGTGATAGTCAATGAACACCTCAGTGATGATGAAACCTGCGCTCTTTTTAAGGAGTTGAGAAAGTTTAGGAGAGCCATTGGGTATTCACTAGATGATATCAAGGGCATATTTCCTAATCTTTGCACTCACAGGATTCATCTAGAGGATGAGACAAAAACTTCCATTGAACCCCAAAGAAGATTAAACCCAAATCTTAAGGAAGTTGTAGAGAAAGAAATTCTAAATCTCCTTGATGCAGGCGTGATTTACCCTATCTCAGACAGCACCTGGGTCTCACCAGTCCATGTTGTGCCTAAAAAAGGAGGAATCACGGTTGTTAAGAATGAAAAAGATGAGCTTATCCCAACTAGAACTATAACAGGACATAGGATGTGCATTGATTATAGGAAATTAAACTCAGCCTCTAGAAAAGATCAATACCCCTTTACCATTCATTGATCAAATGCTTGAGAGATTAGCTAATCATCCTTATTATTGCTTTTTAGATGGATATAATGACTTTTTCCAAATTCTCATTCATCCTAATGATCAGAAAAATTCCACCTTCACATATCCTTATGGCATTTTTGCGTATAGAAGAATGCCATTTGGCCTGTGTAACGCCCTATCAAAATTTTCAAAGATTTGTTACCTCTATATTCTCTGATTTGATTGAAGAAATGGTGGAAATATTCATGGATGACTTTAGTGTCTAAGGATCTTCCTTTGGTGTTTGTTTGTCTAATTTATGTCAGGTTTTAAAGAGATGTGAAGACAAAGGTTTGGTGCTGAATTAGGAAAAATGCCATTTCATGGTCAATGAAATAATTGTTTTGGGACACAAGATCTCTGAGAAAGGGATAGAGGTGGACAAGACCAAGATAGAAGTAATGATGCATCTAGCTCCACCAACATCAGTGAAGGGGATCAAAAGTTTCTTGGGACATGCAGGTTTCTATAGGAGGCTCATCAATGATTTCTCCAAAATAGCAAGACCTCTCACTAGGCTGTTGTGCAAGGAGACATAATTTGTCTTTGATGATGACTTCTTGCAAGCTTTTCTAACCATTAAAGAGGTGCTTGTGAGTGCTCCCATTGTTTAGGCACCTGACTGGAGTTTACCATTTGAGATAATGTGCGATGCTAGTGATTATGCACTTGGGGCTGTGCTTGGTCAGGGAGTGGATACGAAGTTACATGTTATATACTATGCAAGTCACACTCTAGATGACACTCAGATGCGGTATGCTATAACAGAGAAGGAGCTGCTAGCAGTTGTGTTTGCATTTGAGAAGTTTAGAAGCTATCTAGTTGGCTCTAAAGTCATAGTCTACACAGAACATGCAGCACTTTGCTACATCTATGCAAAGAAGGATACAAAGCCACACCTGCTCAGATGGATACTTTTGCTTCAGGAGTTTGATCTCGAGATACTCGACAAAAAGGAATAGAAAATAGTGTAGCTGATCACTTATCAAGGGTGAGGATTGAAGATCTTGTTCATATAGATGACTCTCTTCCTAAAGAATAACTTATGGCTTACGAGATGCTGAAATACTGAAATGAAGCAACCGCTTTGCAAGACAAGAACCTGCCTTGGTACTCAGATTTCGTGAACTACCTGATTTCAGACCATCTTCCCACCTTTCAAAAGCCTTATCACAAGGCTAAGTTCTTCGAAGACATGATCATTATTTAATTGAAGAGACTTTGACATATTACGATTGTGCATGTGTTTGTTGTAACTAAATCTCTCAGGGATCGAGTATATTGTGTCGGAGAGGTTATTTGAGAGTCTCTCCTCGGAAGAGCAAAAGCTTTGGCACTCTCATGACTATGAGGTTAACTTCTCTATGAGTTTTATAAAATCAAATTAAAATGATTATTGACATGTTTAATTTATCTCTGGAGAAAAGTTAAGAAACAGAAGCTGGACTTAGTTTGTTGTTATTGTAGATTCAAACAGGTCTTCTAGTAGCTCCAAGGGTCCCTGAGCTTGTAGCTAAGCCTGAGCTTCAAAATATAGCAAAAACTTATGTAAAGTTTTGGTGCACTTGGCAGTTGGCAGACTGATCGCTGTTTTTTTGTTTATAATTTACGTAAAAACGGTTAGTCAAAATAATTAATTTAAATACAATTTGACGGTAATTAATTTAAATTTTGTATACTTTGGAATTACGTTTTGTTTGTGCTAGAAATTCATTATGTATCAAATAAACAAGGAATAAAAATTCTGATTGAACACTTCTACTAGAGATCGTACGTTATATAAAATTGTTATGAAAAATAGAGAATCTATCTAGTAGTAATCGATTGAGAAGATTTGATCTTTACAAATTGCGTAAATGCAGGAGATAAATTGCCACTAGGTGCACCATCACTCATGATGTCACCACAAGACGTGAATATGGGGAAGATCAAGCCAGGACTGTTGAAGAAACGTGACGATGAATATGGAATGTCGACAGAATCTTTGAAGAAAAGTCGAGCTGGGATTGTGGGACTGGAGAGGAAAAATCCGATGGCTGATTATTGGGTTCATCACGGAAAAGGATTAGCGGTTGATATAAGAGAGACATATATGAAGAAATGTGCTCCTTTCCCATAAGTTTAACGAACGATAATATACTTGTTCGTATGTCCACCAATGTGGACCGTTAGTATCTCAATGAAATTTGCAAAATAATAATATATCCTAGTGTTAAGTGTTGTTTTGTATGATGTAATGCTATGTGTTCGAAAATATGGTTAAGGTTTTTAGTTGGTTTATCGAATTTTTGATTTTTGTATAAAGAAATGTATGAACCAAACAAAATTGGCCAGAGAAATTCACATGATTACATAGCGGCCAAACAAAAGATGAGTACACTCTGATACGGACCTCAAGTCTTTGAGGATCGTATCACACTCACTACGGAAAAGGCAAAGCAAAGGCAACTTTCTCAAGCTTTACCTATGAACTCAATGTCAAAGAGAAGAACCGAAGCTGGAGGAATAAGGCATGAGCCTGCGCAAAAATACAAGTTCAGGCTTCGTGTTAATTAGTTATTTAATAAATAAAAACTATTTAACATAATTTGATTAATTAAGAAATGGTTTTAGCCTTTTCTTGGCTTTTCCTTTTACCTCCTTTGCAACCTGCGCCTCGATCACCAGAGGAATTTGCAATGTTCGTTTCTCACCTGAAGATCAAACCAAGCACAAACTATTTAGAGCAACAATAATGATGAAAACATAACTATGTTCTATTGAAAAGAATGTGGGAAGAAGAAGATCTATATATTGAGATGATCTAACTTGTACAAGAAATGATCAGATGGACTGTTTAGGCACTGTGTAGAAGAAGAAGAAGCCCAAGGAATCGTTTTCCATTGCCATGGTTCTGCTTATGGAGGCCATTTTACAACATTCAAGAACTGCTACAAAGATTCTTTAAGCAGGATTTTGGTGGCCTAGCATCTTTAAAGACACTCATGAATTCATCAAGAGGTGTGAAGCATGTCAAAGGAAAGGAAACATAAACAAAAGAGATGAGATGTCTCAGAATCCAATCCTTAAAACAGATATCTTTGATGTATGGGGAACTGATTTTATGGGACCCTTTCTTTCTTCATATGGAAACAAGTTCATCTTAGTGGCAGTTGACTATGTCTCCAAATGGGTTGAGGCTGTTGCAAGTCCAACAAATGACTCCTCTGTTGTTGTGAAGCTCCTCAAGACTGTAATTTTTCCAAGATTTGGTGTGCCTAAAGTGGTGATAAACGATGGTGGAAGTCACTTCATTAACAAAGTCTTTGATAATCTTCTGAAGAAGCATGGGGTTAAACATAAAGTGGCAACATCTTATCATCCACAAACAAGTGGTCAAGTTGAGGTGTCAAACCAAGAGATTAAAGCCATTCTGGAGAAGACAGTAGGGATCACAAGGAAAGACTAGTCAGCCAAGCTTGGTGATGCACTTTGGATTTATAGGACTGCATTCAAGACACCAATAGGAAGATCTCTTTTCAGCTTGTTGTACGGAAAAGCTTTTCACCTTCCAGTAGAGCTTGAGTATAAGGCTCAATGGGCAACCAAACTGCTCAACTATGACATTAAGAGCCCTCAAGAGAGAAGACTTATGCAGCTTCATGAGCTAGAAGAGATCAGGTTGGAGTCTTATGAGAATTCTAAAATTTACAGGGAGAGGACTAAAGCCTTCCACAACAAGAAGATAGTCCACAAAGAATTCAGATCAGGCGATTTGATGCTTCATTTAAGTCAAGGTGGAATGGGCCATACAGAATCAAAGAAGTTCTTCCCTATGGATCAATCACATTGTTGGATACTGAAGGAAGGGAGTTCACAATCAATGGACACAGAGTCAAGCCATACTTAGCCTCAGAGGTTCTAGCAGTGGAGACTGACCTTAATCTCCTTGATGTTCCCACCTAGCAAAGTAAAGAAGGTCAAGCTAAGAGACCTTAAACAAAGCACACTTGGGAGACAATCCCATGCATATCTATGTAAATATGCTTCCATTTTGCTTTTGATATATTGGTTAAGTGATTTCAGGTTGGAAAAAAGTAGTTGACAAAACATGCATTGCACTTAAGGTATAGAAAATCACTAAAAGTTTAAAAAATTTCGAAAATTGATTTCTTAAAAACAGAGTATTCATGTGCATTCATCTAGGACTTGGACTTCATGCATTCACTTAGGTTGTAGCTTGCTTGTTTAAATGGGTGCAATGATAGTAAATCTTTGAAAATCCAAGTGATTTATGAGACTGATGCCCTTGTTCTTAGTCCTCTGATGCATTTGATGAAGCACTTGAAATAAGGCTGAACCACTCTTTGAATTTATGATTTTGATACTCTTGTTTGAAGTTGAAGCTTGCTTGATTTGATCTTGACCTTTATATAAGTGGAACCTTAATTTGAACTTTGATTTTTTTTGTTTGTGCATTGAAAGTGATTGCATGGGTACCAATATACATACTTGGATCATCTTCTTCTTTTTCACCACTCTTGTTGATCCAAGTAGCTGATCCTCATTATTAAGGTACAATTAACCATACCTTGAACCAATCCTTCCTTCTAAACCCAAACATTATTGTGAGAGTTTGTGAGGCCTTGCATTATCATTTTCGAACTTATCTTGGCAAAAAGTGTTAGGTATAAGGCTGGCAAGCAGGAAATCTATTGTAGACATCAGCTTGGATTTTGAGCTTGATACTAGGTTGGGAGTTTTGGGAAAGGGTAGAGTTAAGTGGTTTAAGCTTTAAATGGTTGTATCTTTTGAGAAGAGAAGAAGAGTGGGAATGGTTTCATGAAGTGAATGATATTGTGGGAAGATGATTTTATCTTGTGGTTAAGTTAAAAAACGACGAAAGCTCTATGTTACAAAGAAGAAAAGGTGCCAGTAACAACAAGCTTACAAAGGTCATCCAAATGGAGAAAAAATCAGACCAAGCAATCCACCAAAAAGGTGATGAAAATTGGCGCCTATACAACAAAGAAGACCAAGTTCTAAAAGAAGTCTGCCACACAAGCAAAAGAAGAAGAAGTCCCCCACATTTCAAGAAGAAAAAGATCAAAAGATCTTTCGAAAATGGTAGATTTAGGGGTTTATCTTGGGACTTAGATTTAATTAGGATCATCTTTGGGAAAGGGTAGAAGCGAGCTTTGACTTGCATGCATAAGTCTGCTTTTACCTTTAGCATTTTGCCTAAGATAGATTCATTTCATATGAGAGATCCCCTGTTTTTTCACTTGATTTGCACAAACTTGATCCATTGGTGACCTGCTAATTAAATGTTAAAAAGGTCAAGTGATTTGCGAGTTTGTGTAGATTGATAACTTGAGAATCATTTTTATTTTGTGATGAGTATTGCTAAGTTTTAGAGTACAGTTCTATCATTTGCATTCTAGCACTAGAAACATGGACATCATTTTGATATATTATTAGCATTTTTAGAGATATGAGTTCCCATTTTAAAACCTCATCACCATGTTAAGTGTTTGTTTGCTTGAGGGCAAGCAAAAGCTAAGTGTGGGGGGTGTTGATAGCTTGCTATATTAGAGCATTTTAGGCAGCATTTCATGCATCTTTTCCCTTGTTTTTGCATTATAGTTTAGCATTTTAGTCTCCTTTGCACTTAGAATCAACATTGCATGCATTTAGTCTAGGATTGCACACATATGCATACATTTGCATGTTTGTGGTGTTGTTCAGGTGTTTATGAAGGTGTTTACAACTTGGAGAGCAGATGAAAACAGCTCCCATTCAAAGAAGATGCCAAAGAAGGAGTTTTCCAAACTCTATGCCATATCGAGGTCCAGCATCGAGCAGAACACCCATGAAGCTTGCCCGATGTAGAGCGTGGGACGATGAGGAAGGATGATACTAAATAATCCCCATGTCATCATTGCTCTAGCCTTGAACCTGCGCCTCATCGTTCTTTGCATTCATTTATTTTGTGTTCTGTTTTCCTCTGTTTTTAGTTGCTTTGCTTTTGTCCATCTCTTGCCTTGCATTTCAAGTTATTGCATTTAGCTTCCATTATAGTTCTTGCACTTTTATTTCTTTGCTTACTTTTGTCCTGCTGCATTTAGATCATTTCCTAGTTAGTTTCTGTTGCATTTAGTTCCTTTGCATTGCATTACTTGCTTTAGTCTTGTTAGTCTTCCTTTTGTTTGTGCATTTCATCCTATTTAGGTTATTAGAATCATCCTTTTTCATCATACATGGTTAAGCTTAGTTAGTGACTTGCATCTCTTTCATTCTAGCTCCTAGATGGATTGATAAACCTTATCTATACTACATCTGATATAGAGAGGGATTGAGTTAAGACTTGCAAAAGTCCTTCTTCAGTTTTTTTGATGTTTGGGGAATTGTCTTCATAGGACCTTTCCCTTCTTCATATGAGAACAAATATATCTTGGTAGATGTTGACTATGTCTTTAAGTGGGTTGAAGCAGTGGCAAGTACCACAAATGATGATAAGGTGGTGATAAAACTCTTTAACAGCATCATCTTCCCAGGATTTGGAGTCTCTAGAGTGGTGATAAGTGATGGAAGAAACCATTTCATCAACAAGGTGTTTGAAGGGCTATTAAAGAAGCATGGGGTGAAGCACAAGGTAGCCCCACCCTATCATCCTCAAACAAGTGAGCAAGTAGAGGTCTCAAACAGAGAGATTAAAGCCATCTTAGAGAAGACGGTTGGTGTTACAAGAAAGTATTGGGCAGCCTGATAACAGGTTTTTACATGATGCAGGCAGGAGGTTATCAAAACTCAAGCAACATATAGATGTAGCATAGTGTGCAAGAGGAATCAATCCAACCTAGGATGCAGGAAGAACACTAAGAATGCAAGGATCTAGTGAATCTAAGCAAATATGATAAATGATTGGTAAAAATCTAGGAAAACTAAATGCAACGATCTAATGCAATGCAAAATAATTTTAAAATCCCTGGAAGAGGGTTAAATATCACTAGGAACAAGCAGGAAATTAAAAATGCAAAGCTACTAAGAATTAAAAATCGACTAGTGAATCGACCACAGGATCGAGCACTAGATCGAGCATAATGGATCGATCTAGCAAACAACTTAAAGGAAATG